ATAAATGACATTCGATAAAGTGTTGACATCCAAAATATATATAGAGCTCACATACCTCAACAAACAAAAAGCAAATAATCCAATAAAAAATGGGCACAGGATCTGAACAGACACTTCTCCAAAGAAGAAATTCAAATGGCCAACAGACACATGAAAATATGCTCCACATTGCTAATCATCAGGGAAATGCAAATTAAAACCACAATGAGAGATCACCTCACACCAGTTAGGATAGCCAACATCCAAAAGACAAACAACAACAAATGTGGGCGAGGATGTGGAGAAAGGGGAACCCTCCTACACTGCTGGTGGGAATGTAAACTAGTTCAACCATTGTGGAAAGCAGTATGGAGGTTCCTCAAAAAACTAAAAATAGAAATACCGTTTGACCCAGGAATTCCACTTCTAGGAATTTACCCTAAGAATGCAACAGCCCAGTTTGAAAAAGACATATGCACCCCTATGTTTATCACAGCACTATTTACAATAGCCAAGAAATGGAAGTAACCTAAGTGCCCATCAGTAGATGAATGGATGAAGAAGATGTGGTACATATACACATGGAATATTATTCAGCCGTAAGAAGAAAACAAATCCTACCATTTGCAACAACATGGATGGAGCTAGAGGGTATTATGCTCAGTGAAATAAGCTAAGTGGAGAAAAACAAATACCAAATGATTTCACTCATCTGTGGAGTATAAGAACAAAAGAAAAACTGTAGGAACAAAACAGCAGCACAATCACAGAACCCAAGAATGGAAAAACAGTTACCAAAGGGAAAGGGACTGGGGAGGATGGGTGGGAAGGAAGGGAGAAGGGGGAAAACGGGGCATTACAATTAGCGCACGTAATGTAAGGGGGTGGGGACATGGGGAAGGCAGTATATACAGAGAAGACAAGTAATGATTCTATAGCATCTTACGACACTGATGGACAGTGACTGTAATAGTGTTATGTGGTGGGGACTTGATAATAGGGGGAGTCTAGTAACCATAATGTTCAAGTAATTGTACATTAATGATATAAAAATAAAAATAAATAAATAAGTAAATAAAATAAAAAATTTATACTTAAATGAAAGATTAGGTGTTTAAAATGTCAAATCTTATTTCTTATTTATTTACAAATATTGCAAAAACTTTATCTAATTTTTTGTTTTTCTTTGCAAATGCAACCTACTTGAACAATAGACTTGACTGAACAATTTGAATTCCAAATGAGCAACCTTCACACAAATTTTTTAATGTAATGCATTAATAATGTGTAATGTCTCATATAAGGTGTAATTCAAAATGAATAGAATAAACAATACCTATTATATGATTGAAAGGAGATAATGGGGGATGACAGAAAGACAGTTTCATACTTGGGAAAACTTTTTAACAAAAGGTAGAACTTGAGCTGGACTCTAAATAATAAACTGATGTATTAGGGAGAAGGTGAAAGGGTATCTCGTGTTGGGAAAGACTGTTGGCAAAGCCATGTTTTTGTTTGAAATGGAGACTTCTTATGAAAGAGGAAAGGAGATATTGACAAATCAGGATCAGACCCATTTGTAGGTTTTTTTCAAAGTCACATTAGGGAGTTTTAGGGATTTTCTTCCATAAATAATAGAAAACGATGAAAGTTTTGAAGGACTATAATGAATTTGACAGAGTAGTTTTACAAAATTGCCCCTGGTGATGTTAGAGGTGTTCAAAGGCAAGGAAACTAATTAAGAGACCATTTATAAACATGTGTTTGTGAGATGCCAGGGACCTGGATTAATGTGGTGGGAATTTCAAACAAGGGGCACTCTGACAAATGCTTCAAACACATGCAATATAGTCTTGATGTAATAAAGGAGGTGAAGGAAGACAGTACTTCAGAAATGATAGTGAGGTTTCAGGTTGGGTGACTGGGAGGATGAAAAATACACCTGATGGCGGGATCAGAGAGGTCAGAAGAGAAAAATTGTTTGAATGGATGAGAGAAAGGAAAGTGATGATAAGTACAAGGGACTCAGTGCTGTTGCTGAAAGTTAATGTTGTGAGCCACATATATTATTTCAAATTGTCTACACCACATTCAAAACAGTAAAAATAAACAGATGAAATTATGCTGATGTAACTCTAGGGAGAATATCCTGGAGCAAAATACCTTTGAAACCGAAATCAGTCAAAGGGAGAAATATAGTGGGAGAAACCCATTTATTTCTTACAAGCAGTCCACTCCTGCTCTCCCATGTCTCTCATGACCCAGCTGCAGAAGAAGAGGCCCCCACCCAACCTCTCTGATCCAGATAAGCCCTGCTTGCCCTTGTAATTACCTACTGGTATGGAGATGGACTACTTCTCTGCACCCCTTGGAAACACCTATTGTGTGGAGATTCATTAAAGCCAGGCAAGAGATTCTGGAAATATTGCAATTTTATCCACAGCTTAATAATTTATTTACCCCAATTTAATCGTATCCAATTTAATCATATTTACCCACATATAATCAATATTAAAGTATTATGAGATAGTTTACATCCTTTTTCTCATACCAAGTCTTTGAAATCCAACAAGTATTTAACACCTAAAGCACATCCCAATTTAACTATCTACATTTTAAGTGCTTAGTAGCCACCTGTGGCTAGTGGCTACTATTTTGGACAGTGTCTTCCTGGACTGCTTAATAGAACTAACAAAGATTATGTAGCAAATGTTTCATTTAGGCTTGTGCTAAGGCTTATGTATTTTGGAAATTATAATTCAATTTATCTTTTCTTCTCCTCTATTCCTTTTGTTTATTTTAGCTATTTTTTATTCAAGATGTTCTTTTAGCAGAACCTTATTCCTTTCCAAAAGTACCAAGAATTTTAGAAATATCCATGATATACTGTTTCATTGCTCTTTCATTTAGTTATCCATTGGACTTACAACTTAATTAAACAAATAGGTCTTGAGTCTTCTTTTTTTTCTGCCTTTGTCAGTCTTAAAAGTCATGATTATGAAATAAATTAGATACATGTTCTCAAAAACCTTAGATAAGTGACATTTAGCACTTTGGAAATGAAACTGCGTTTTTCATGTTCCCCTGTCTGCATATGTGTGTATTTCTCCAGTGTTTAATATCTGACGTAAACTTGCTGGATTTTGGTCTTCACTATATGCTAAAGAATGCAGTACAAAAGGGAGCCCACTTCTACGGAAAGCACGCCAAGAACATTGTGTTCCATCTTTACAATGAAATGCAGACTTCCCATTAAAAGGCAAATTCATCATTTCAAAAGGTTGAATAGCTGGTACATTAAAAAAAATCCAGCTGCTTAAATTTAGGGTATTAAAAACATCCAATAAAAAATAATGTTCCCTGGGTCTCAAGCATTTTCATTTGATTACGTATTGGATAGCTTTTCATTCAGTCTACAATCTTGCCTCTTAGAATACTGCCCTAAAATAATCTGACAAGTATTTCAAACAAGTTTGACTCAACTATGATACTTCATTTGCATCAATTACGTATTTTGCTATTTAGAATATTCATTTGCAAATATATTACTAATTTTTGTACAAGAAATATCAGAATCTTCTTACAGTGCTTTGCTTTTTCATGTTTATTAGGCTTCTCTCATTCTCATTTAGTTTCTTTTATGTTTTTCTTATCTTCTTTGAAGACATTTTCTGCGGAACAGCCATGTTGTTCTCCAACTAGCCTCCTTCAGCTTCAGTCATCTGTCTCTCTCTGCTTTACTATTCCCATATGTCCTGCCCAACTTTCTCCTGATTAATTTAGGAGTAAGAAGACACAAAGCCAGATACTCCCTGCTGTGCCTCTCTGTGGGGTCTGCAGACACCATGGCCACACATGGCTAGGGAGCCCAGCAGAGTTCACCATCTTACTGCGCCTAAACGCACATCCTCAAGAAAGAGCTGTTTGAAGTGCAGGAACCAAAAGGCTTATGTCAAACATATCTGTACGGTGCATGTAGCCACAGGGAATGTATTAATAGTTTATTAAACATTATGGATAAGTTTCCTTGCTCCTTCCTCTGGAGTCTAGTCCTGCCCTTCTTCAGGCTAGCACTAGAGACCTAGGCTTGGGACCATTCAAAGGACTACTGTTTAACAAAGACTGTGCTAAAATGCCTCTGGTAACAGATACTGACTAGGTTTCTTAAGCTGAGTATTTAGCTCTCTCCTATTATACTGGTTGTTAGGCATATATATATATATTATGTATATATTATAATATTGCCTCTGGGCTAGTCCCTAAAAGTAAATATTTCTAACAATTCTTTGGCATCCAATATGTTTTACTAAGACCAGTTTGGTTCCATTCGCAGACCTCCCCTCTCCATTGTCCATTTTCTTCTTAAACAATTGTTCATTTTAAAAGAAAATTTATTCTAGTTAGTATCAGTCTATTTCAAATGGGTTCCTTTTCCTCTAAGAGCTCAACAATTTAATGGAGTCTTTTTTTTTTTCTGGACCCACATGTTATTCTAGACCCAAATGAAGGGAGTATTTTCTGTGCTTTGTCATAGTTTGTAAGGGGTATTTCACACTGGGGTCCTGTGCTTCCAGTCCCCTGCCAACATTGACTATCCAAACTGCTTAGGCTGCAAATAAAATATGAAATGAAATCCATCTGGCATTTCTCATTGAATTAGGACCAGAACATTTTTGTTAAATGTTAACAGATGGCTAAATTCTTAGTATCAAACTAACATTTTAAAACATCTAAGGGGACCCACATGATGAAGAAAGGATAGAGGACCATGTGTTTTCTCCATCACTGAGCCCTTCCTTCCCCTATACTTTCCCGCCCCTCATCCTTCCAACCCACGTGTTAAGAATCATTGGGGTCTCCCAGCTCAAATAACTTTTATTCTTTGGTAGCTGATATCAAAATATTAAGTGATGGTATCAAAATACTGTAATCAGATATTGGCCAGCTCAAGTGATATATTGCTATGGGCATGTTTCAAGATCTTTCACTAAAGCCAATTCTCTCCCTTTCTCTCTTAATAGGAAAAAGAAAAGAAGTATATGCTTCCTTTGGACAACCTGAAAGTTCGGGATGTGGAAAAGAGCTTTATGTCTAGCAAGCACATTTTTGCACTCTTTAATACAGAACAAAGGTAAGAAAATGAAGCAGCTTCTGTTTTCAGATTTTTTCCTTTAATTCCTACATGATTTAGAGATCATATTTACAAGATTTCCTTTGGTTCCCCCTTGAAATTTGTGAACTGTCCAGTTTTCCTTCCATTTATTTTGTATTTTTAGCTTCCACTGTAGGTTATGGATTCAAAAGGTTAAAACTTTGGATAAGGAAGATCTCAAGTAGTTTATTCCTTACTTTTCTAGCAGGTACCCAAACCATACTGCTTCCATTCTTAAACTACATTCTATTACTTTAAAGTTTTCCTTATCCTGGATTTATTGTTTACATAGTTACAAAATTACTCAGTTGTGAATTTTAATAGTATCTGTCTAACATGGATGGATATCACTTAAGACTGTCTCATTTATTGTGACTGTATCTTGCATCAGTGAATAGAATTATTCGCTTCATGTAAATATGAATGTATAGTACTTTACAGTCTGTCCACCTTCATTGTTTGCTTTTTGTAACAGTTGCACATGAGGTGGAAAGATAGAATAGTGTGGTTACTGTTTTATGAATTAGAAATGTATCTCTGAGAAGTTAGCTGACTTTTTTAAGAGAGCAAAATTAGGACCCAGGAGAGCTTAAAACCTGAATCAGTACTTCTGTATCTAAGTCTCCCTTTCTTTCTACTTATATTTCCTTTTCTTTTCTTCTTCTTGTATTTCCTTTTCTTTTCTTCTTCTGCCACTAATATACAGCATCAAAACTTAATTTGGGACTAATTATAACAGAGTACCAATGCTTGTTCACTGAAATTAAGCAGTAAAGTTAAATAAACAAATGGAGAGGTAATAGGACATGGCATAGAGAGTTGTAAAAGGGCTACAACCGGGCAAGGATAATAAAGGAGATCTTTGCCAAATGGAAATGTGATGGAAAAAAGCTAATTAATTTCTATGAGTCAGTTTATCAAGAGACCCAGTCATTATGTGGCAGGGTTTAATCTTAACCTGTCTCTCCAGGTCTTTTATTTATTTAGCAATGAATGAAGTTTCTTGATTAAATTCAATGACTAGTCCAGGGTCAATCACACGGTAAATCAATATAGCAAAAAGAGCCTTCTTCCTACATTCCCAGTCAGTTGCTCAGGGTAACTCATTATACAAAAATACCTAGAAAAACCACAAGACCATAGCATTTAAAGAATCAGGCAGAAAGAAAATTAAATACAATTCCCCTATGAAACACTGAGATGGGATTTTTTAAAGGCTTACTATTATTTGAGAATAGATTAAGAAAAACAATGAAAATGATAAAGAATGGAAAGGTTTACTAGAGAGAACAACGTGTCCTCCTACTAGGACCAAGCTCAGACATTTTGTACCTTCCTCAGTGCAGTGGGGAACTGGGAGTTCCTCCAGGAATCTTCAGAGGTGTGCTCAGCCTTCTTGCTTTGTCTGAGAGTGGGAAATGTAACTACCACACAGGAGTCCTTGGTCAACCTGGAAAGTCCAGGTCATAGAAGAGGTGGGTACAAGCTAAAAAATCAGACAAGAATAGTAGAGTTGTTTCATCTTTATAAGACAAAATACAGCTGTGGGTTTTAAAGAGAGAGAAAGACACCAAAATAAGAAAACTCTGGACTTTTAAAAATCTGGGTGTTGTGGAATCCTATAATTCTTAGAAGGTATTGAACTCTTAAACTACTTTTCAGAGACCTCTGTGATATATAGGCACATTCACCATAGTTTTTCCTCTGAAATCTTGGTTATTTTCCATCATCTTTGTACCGGTTAGAATTTTCAGCATAATCCTGAATACAATTGGACAGCCTGTCTTATTTATGATTTTAAGGAGAAATATTTCATAATTTTATAGTTAAGTACTTTCTGATAGGTACCTGATGTAAGGTAAAGAGGATCCCTTGTGTTCCTAGTTAAGATTTCTGTTTCTGTTTTAATCATAGATGGGTTTTATCAAGTGTTTTTGTGCCTCTACAGAGAAGAATATATGCTTTTCTATTCATGTGGTGAAATATATTAATGCTTTATTAACCTTCTAATGTTAAACTATTCTTGATCTCCTGGAATTAAACCTAGTTAAGTCATGATGTATTATTATTTATTATGCATTGCTGGCCTAAGTTTGCTAGCATTTATTTGGACTTTCACATCTATAGTTTTTAAGTGAGATTGGTTCATAAATGTTCTTTTTCATGCTGTCCCTGAAATTTTCATATCAAGGTTGTGTTGGCCTCATAATTGAAGTGAGAATAAGTCTTTATTGTTCTTTGGAACACTCTGTACAAGATAAGAATTAATTGATTGCTAATTTATTGTTTGGTAGAGCTCACCTGTAATCATCTTGCCCCGGTGGACAGTTTTAACTAGTTATTTTTAAACTAGATTTTTAAGAGACTTTTAGCTAGTGATTTAATATATGTAGCATTATAAACTGGTTCAGGTTTTCTATTTTTTCCATGATTGTTTGGACACATATTTTTTCCTAGGTATTGTCCATTCTGTTCATTTTAAAATATATTATCATCAAAATATATTTCTTAATGTTCAATTTTTTCAAATTTCTGCTGTTCCTGAAATGTTACCCCTTTTTAAAATTTCTAATATTAAGCCGTATCTTTTTTTAACTTGATCTCTCTTGCCAGAGTTTAATTGATTTTTAAAGAATGAGTTTTTTACTTTTTTGATCCTCTATTGTGTATATTCTTTCTATTGCGATAATTTCTGCTCATTTCTTCATTATTTCCTTCCTTGTATTTTCTTTGTGTTTACTTTGTAGGTCTTGTTTTCTAACTTTTAAATTTAGATGAGGAACTCATCAGTTTTTATCCTTTCTCTTTTTATATCTGCATATAAATCTGCAGTTTTTCCCCTAGGTAGTCTCAAGCTGATTACCACAAATTTTGAAATATAATATTTTTATTCACATTAAGTTCTGCTTTCTTCAATATTTTCTTTCCATAATCTTCATTATAATTTATTCTTTGAAATGTTTAGAAGTGTGTTTTACATTTTATAATGCATGGAATTATTCTTTTGTTGTTAACTTCTAACTTAATTGTTAGAATTTAATACCATGGTAAATTTTCATAAATATTCCATGTATGCTTGAGGAGAATGTATTGATTTGGGTGTACAGGGTTCCATGAGAGTCTGCTGAATTTTGCCTGTTAATTATACAATCCAATCTCTTGAGTTACTTTTTCATCTTGATTATTTCACTCAACAGGTATATAGTGTTACATGTCAGCTACTTCTTATATACTTAAAATAGATCTGTGAATAAAATACAGAAAAAAGATAATGCATTTTAAATCACATTTTAGAGAGTGGTGTTGGCAGGGAGACAGGTAAAAGCCATAAAGAATCTCACATTATCAGAGGAGTATTAAAAATCTCTTTATGAGTGTGATTTCTATTATTCTAGTAAGTCTGTTAGTTTTTGCTTTATGCATTTTGAAGCCAATCTATGTTATTATGTTCTTACAAGTTTAGAATTATATCTTCCTGATGACTTTCAAAAAAAATAATTTTGTGGCAGCACTCTTATTCCTAACAATACTATTTGCCTTAAAATTTATTATGTCTGATCTTAATATAGCTATGTCACCTTTCTTGTGGAGAAAGAAAAATAATATTTGCTTTATTGTGGTTAAGTAATTTATCTTATTTACTTCCTTGTGCAATCTATATTTCTGTATTTGTATTAGGTGTTTCTCCCGTAATGGCAAGTACTGGATTTGTTTGTTTGCTTTTAATCTTGTGAGATATTTTTCTTTTAAATAATTAGCACATTTATATTTTAAATTATTGCCAATGACTTATTGAATTTATTTGAATATTATTTTAGTCTTTGTTTACCCTGCATTTTAAAATACTTTTTCATAATTTTTAATTGAAATAGAATTTATATATAATATTATCTTCATTTCAGATGAACAATTTAGTTATTCATCAATTATATACATCATTAAATGCTCACAATTATAAGTGTAGATACTATCTTTCACCATACAAAGATGTTACAATATTACAAGCTATATTCCCTATGCTATACTTCCATCCCTGTGACTGAATTCTTTTATAATTTGAAGTTTTTACCTCTTTATCCTCTCCACCTATTTTACCTGTCCCTCCCCTGAATGTAACCAACCATCCATTCTCTGTGTTTATGAGTCTATTTCTGTTTTGTTGTTTATTTTCATTTTGATTTCACATACAAGTGAAACCGTCTGGTATTTCTCTTCCTCTGATTGACATATTTCACTTAGCATAATACACTCTAGATCCATCCATGTTGTCACATATTTCTTTTATTTTTCTGGCTGAGTAATATTCCATTGTATATACATACTGTCTCTTCTTTATTCATATATTAATGAATAGGACTTCTTACTTTTTTATGGCTGAATAATATTCCTGTGTGTGTGTGTGTGTGTTGTGTGTACATACCACCTCTCCTTTGTCCATTCATCTATTGATGGGCACCTCAGTTACTTTTATATTTTGGCTATTGTAAATAATGCAGCAGTAAACATAGAGATGCATATATCTTTTTGAATCAGAGCTTTTGTTTTCTGCAGGTAAATTCCTAAAAGTGGAGTTACTGGGTAATGTGGTATTTCTATTCTTTAGTTTTTTGAGGAACTTCCATACTGCTTTGTATAATGGCTGCACCAATTTACATTCCCTTTTTCCCACATCCTCACCAATACTTGTTATTTATTGTCTTTTGGATAGTGGCCATTCTAACTGGTGTGAGATGATATCTCATTGTAGTTTTGATTTGCATTTCCCTGAGGAGTAGTGATGTGGAGCATCTTTTCATGTGTCTGTTGGCCATCTGTATTTCTTTGGAGAAACATCTGTTCAGATTCTCTGCCCATATTTTAATTGGTTTACTTGTTTTTTTGGTGTTGAGTTATATAAATTCTTTATATATTTTGGATGTTAATCCCTATCAGATAAATCATTTATGGATATATTCTCCCTTTTCATTTCACTGATGTTT